TCCTCAATTAGGTACGCTAGCATATATTTGCACACTTTCAGAGGTATTTCACAATTATTCCCATAAATTAATTAATTAATTAAAATTATTCTGAGAAAAAAAAGTTAAAAAAACACGTATCCCGTATTTGTTTTATCAACTTTTATGTCAGGTAAATCGGCAACCGCGGTCAGGAGCAAGCATGCATGCATGCGGCAAGGGATTGCACATAGGCCCTCGCTGCACTACGCTCCAAATGTGCAAAATGAGACTGAATCCACAGCTAGAACATGGAAAGATACGTTACATTGCCATCTTTTTTGTCTTTTGTGCATGTGGCGAGTAGTGCAGGGAGGCCCATCGTGAGATGGAGAAAAAGAGAGCAATAACAGAAGAAGCTCAGAACCGGCACGCGCTTCGCAAACAAAACCCCTGATTGACCAACCAGTACCAGTACCAGTCCCAGTTGGTTTGGAACGTTCTGACCCAAAGAGAAAGCATGCCCCTAATGTTGTTGTTGTTTTCAAAAGGAATTTAAGAGAACTGCGAATCCTATTGAATTACTTCTGAGATCTTAGAACACAGCCGACAATCCCCATCAGTCCTCCCAATACCTCAAAACCTGAGAGTACCTAAGCAGATCCAACCAAAGGCAATTGAAACTAACCTATTCTCTGCCAGACTCTTCCAGGCCCCATACCTCCAACCTGTTAGGTTATACAGAGCAACACCCTCGCCCCAGCTCCAGCCCACGCGCCAGCTCCAGCCAGCCTCGTCCCAGCAGCAACCCCCAGCTGTCCCTTAGGATGCCGGCTCGCCCCAGCTCCAGCCCGCGCCCGAGCTCCAGCCAGCCTAGTCCCAGCGGCCAGCCAGCTTAGTCCCAGCAGCAACCCCCAGCTATCCCTTAGGAGCAGGCTCGGCCCAGCTCCAGCCAGTGTCGTCCCAGCAGCAACCCCCAGCTGTCCCTTAGGATGCCGGCCCCACCCGCTGCTAGAAATCACCATGTCTGCACTGGCCTCTACAACACCCCGGGCTTAAAAAGAAAAACAAAGGATGTTGACCTCGACTCCGCAACATCCCCAGATCTCATTAGTTGTCCCAGCAGCAACCCCCAGCTGCCCCTTAAGATGCGGTCCCCGCAACATCCCCAGATCTCTCTACGAGCCGTAATGCCCCTGCCAACAGCAGGTTACAGGGCAACGCCCCAGCTCCAACCGGCGTCCTTCTGGCATGGACCTTTGAGGTTAACCACCATTACTTCCTAAGCCATGCCCCTAAACAAGCCAAAGAAATGCACGGGCCACAACAGGAGGGCCCAAATGCATCCTACTTGAAACATTTCTACTCTGTTTTTTTTGCGGCGGATAGCCGGGCCAAGTACTGGTGGTTTAAAAAAAATGTGGGGGGGGGGGGGGGGGGGGGGGGGGGGGGGGAACAGAAGAAAGGACGTGCCACTTCTCTCTGATTACGGTTAGCAGGAACCCGCCTTCTTCATGCTCTGACAAGGAAAGGCAGGAACCGTGCCGTCCTGTGGGTCCACACGGTCTGCTGAAATTTTTGGACCACAGGACTGCTTGGCCGTCCGCATGCCAAGCACCTTGTCATGCTATACGCATCGTCTCATGGCATCCTCGTCTACATGATCATGTCCACGGCTTAGCGAAGCTGTAGCCATCGCCCGTTCTACGTAGGTAGTGCACCCATCGCCTTCACGACTGCTGGTGTGGCAGTAGTGTCGTGTCCGTGGCGGAGGGCAGATCCGAGCGCAACACGTAGGTAGTGCACCCATCGCCTTTACAATTGCTGGTATGGCAGTCGTGTCGTGTCCATGGCGGAAGGCAGATCTGGGCGCAACGCCAACAAGGACTTTGCGGAGACGCCATCATCCGGGCATGGAGTACGGACGGGTGGACCCCCGGGGGCATCAAGGAGGACAAGATAATGGGGACGACTTGCTGTTCATGACTGTGATAGCAGTCATGCAGTGGATGAACAGGCGGAATGCGGTCGCCATGGCTGTCCTGCAGGCTGCAGCTTCGTTACCTATCTTTGATGACGGCTTTCAGCATTGTTTCATGCTTCTCACAGGGGCTGTTTGCCATAGTGTGGGTGTGATGTGTCTGTCGATGAGAAACATGGACAGGCTCGTGGATGACAGGAGGAGGACATGGGT